CTGTTCGATAATATGATGACGTTTAGTTATAACTATTAGTGTAGTAGTGTGGGTATAAAATAGTGGGAGTAAAATACTCACCATCACACAAATGAGTGTCATTTTCTGTTAATTTCAAATAACTTTAAACTATTTGCTTTTTTAAAAAAACGGGGATGGATATCTTAGCAAAATCGGCCCCATTCGAAAATTTTAAGAAGAGATCCCCTAATGTTATATGGTTAGCAAGGTAATTGATTCTAATATTTAACTGTATAAAATTTTTCGCCAAGACACAATTTTTTTTCTAAATATTTGACCATATATATATATATATGGTAAAGGGTACATGAGCCGTAGTATTTAAACCAACTTAAGAGTGCATCGCACTAAAAAGCCCATTGGAGAAACTACTGTTACATATTAGTCAATGCACCAGGTACTGCTTAAGAAAAATGTATAAAAATATATGGCTTATCGAATATTTTATGATCAGTTTTGTAAGCAGTTAATATAAAGAAGGATTCGTGCGTTAAATGTTCATTTGTTCTATGATCTTTGCAGCAATGCGATCTTTCTGAGATTTCATAATTACAATCAATTAAAATATTGTTTTGATGTTCTTTTTTAATAGTAACAGCTGGTGGAATCAACTGAATGTGGCACACATGACACTAACTAAAGCAAAAAGCTTATTGAAGTCAGCAATAAAATCAATTTTTTACCTCTTGAATGAAATAGCTACGTCAATAGGCAGTTTCAAGCTACTCTGAACAGCACTAATTGATTCATTAACAACCAATACATTATTCTAAAGTGTGTAAAAAGATACTAACACTCACACCCTTTTAAATAAAAGAATAATAATTTCTTATTTCATATCATAATAAATTTTAAAGGAAAATGCACAGCAATATACATTTTATCATTAACTCACCCACTTTTTTTTTTATTGTATATTCGGATTTTGAGACTTTGAAAGTATGTTGAGTTTTGTTGTGATATAACAATCTATTGTGTTTATCTGAATGGAAAACATAATCTTAGCAACAAATACTTTTTCAAAGTTTGAAACTAGCTGACATTTTCTTTTACATGACACATTTATTCGTTATATATTTAACTGCCATGAAATTAAAGATATAGCTATGACATGCCGTTTGCATAGATGTCAATGTAAAAAATAGCTGTCCAACTCATTATGAAAATTTCTGACATTATTCTTCTATTTTTCTGAAGTCAATTGCTTTTTGTACTTTATTCTTTCTCTGCAGCTAATGAAGTTGTACTGAAGATCGTAGCAGATGCAAGTCGCATGTATTTTCCAAGAAAATAATGAGTGTAGATTTAAACCGAAGTTTTTGTGTTGCTTCCCCTCCCCTTCCATCCTTTTCAGATCCTAATAATCGAAGGTGAGAGAAGCTAGAGCAAAGATTATTAGATAGACTTGCGTAGCAACGGAGACAGGAGCAAGTTAAATTGTGATTTCCCTAATCGAACATCTTGTAAGCAAGATCTTGAAATCTTGGGACCGATAAGCAAAATCTTGATAAGATCTTGAAAAAATAATTTGTATGTGCATATGTTGATTGTATGAGGTAAATCTGTACCTAAGATCTTGTCAAGATCATGGAAAAAATATCGTTTACTATTATCTTCTCACAAGATCTTGAGTCAAACAAAAAGCGATACCATTGGTGTGTTTACACGCTAACTGGTCATTCACCATTTATTTATGCATACAGAGCCGTATATAAACAACATGATTAAACACCCGAAACAAACATTTTCAAAAAAAATTTTCTAAAATATTTCTCGACTATTGATTATTCGAGAACATGCTGATCTCGATTGATGATTGAGAGAGGACTACTCTGAAACAGTCTGATGGAGATCGGACTATTTCAAGGTCAGGCAGGTTTCAAGATCTGACTTTCTTCAGTTATTCGGGATAGGAATAATTAAAATGCCTAGGTCAAAAAATCTGACAGTAAGTCTTGTACGATCATATGAAATCGTACAAAAAATCGTAGTCTCTGAAATCTTACATCAATTCTTACTGTAAAATTCCTGTAAGATTTCAGAGACTACAATTTTTTTTACGATTCACACCAAATCGTACAAGATCGTATATGATCAGACGCAGAATCTTGTCCGATCTTAATGTCCGATTGTTCGCCCTGGGTGGAAATAAATTGAAAAAAATGTCATAACATGCTTTTACAGAAAAAAATAATAAATGCGCTATATGATCGGTTCAAACCATGCTTTCAGAATGTATCATACATTGTGTCGCAAATCACGACATATGCAACACGTTTTATCTTAGTGTGTACCCAAGATCTTATGAATCTGTACCCAAGATCTAATTCAAGATCTTGGTACAGGATAATACGATTATCTTGTACCTAAATTTTCAAGATCTGTTCACTTTTCTCTACCTAAGATTTCGGCCAAGATCTTGCTTACAAGATGTTCGACTAGGGTTGATACTTCAGCCAGAAATAGGAAAAGATGTTTGAGTGATAACAATGCTTCGATTATTTTGAAATTCTACAAGTTCCAACTAATGTCCATTTCAACAACAAAAGGCGGGTGAGTATTTCTTGAACAATTTTTGACAGAAATAAGATAGAAAGCTGCCGTTTTGCACCTTTAGAAACAGGAAATTAAAACCCATGTAATCATATATTATCATTTTTTCGAATATATTTTCTAAACATTTTTCAATCAATTTTCTGAAAAAGTGACGCAAAAAGGTTTCCTTTTAAACATGAGAGAAAAGGAATAATATGGTTTTTTTTACAGAAATTGCTTGAAAAATCGATCGAAAATGTGAACTAAAATAGCGTTGGTCCCTAAATGATTAAATCTAAAAATCTGAAACTGGTGCAGTTTCGTAGATCTCCCATCACTGGTTCGAATGCACACCTCATAATTGAAAATTTACTGTAGTTACCTCACACGATAAGTTGATTTTTAAAAACATTAATTAAAATCTTTAAAAAGCATGTGGAAAAAATTTATAATAAACAACTCATGTCTTCACTCCTCTTTCTGAAGATGAAAGTCGCAGCTTTTTATCTTGTGTCTATCAAACGCTATTCAAGAAATATCCCACCCGCTTTTCTTTTTAAATGGGCATGTATCTAAATATTTCAGGTTTTGATGATGAATGCAATGGAAAGATCTGATTGTCGGTGCCAGTCAATAGGATAGTAGTATTATTGATCTAGTAGAATTAGAATAGCACAAACATAAACAAGTATAAGCTAATTGGATTCTAAGCTTAGGCAAAACTCTATAGCATATTTCAGTGTTTATCAGGAGAGACGATGGTGTGCTCAGAAAATTACTGAATAATTATATCAGTGTGCATACCAAGTTAACAATGGTAGTTAGATCAACGAAATGAATAGTAAAATGATATTTGTCTTTTCCTAACGGGTGTTGCAAAAGTTCCTGGAAAAAAGTAGAACTATATATTTCCGCCATTCTAAATGCTAGAAGTCTTAATTTTTTTTATTTGAAAGATCTTACCGTCCTCTACAAAAAAACGTTTAATGACAAGTTGAAAAAACGCCATCGGTATACATTTTTCGGAGGTTCTTTCGAACATCGTCCATCATAAGTTGTAAAACTGATATGTCAACTTCTTTCAATTTTTTTTTATCCGACGTTCGAGTTGTTTTACGATATGTGCTTTCCAATTTTTTTCGTATACTAATTGAGCCAAGACACCCCAGAAATCTTCAATAGGACGCCCTTGTGGTATATTAGGTGGATTATTGATTTTCGGTACAGAAAATTTCCCTAATAACGACGCAACAATTTTGTCTTCTTTTATTTTGCTTCGTATTCATCTGCTGTAGATCCAATCAAAATCATTTTTATATTTCGAGAATCCTTAGATGCTCCTCTTTCGAATGATGTATAAATCTTGGTTTTACCTACATGTTACCATGGAGACATTAGCGGTCTATGATGAAGAGGTCTCTCCGTCGTTATTAAGTATCGATTCCCTAATAACGTCGGCCAGCAAAATTACTGACCCTAATAACGACTCTCCAGCAAAATATAAGAGAAAAACTAATTTTAAAGAAAAAAACCTTTTTTCACGTTTTCTGTGGGAAATCGAGATATGGTGTCTTAGACAATTTTGTAGAGCAAATCAAACTCTACTATCATCTAGCGGTTCACGAAGAAGCAACTATCTTTTAGTGGAATGCAAAATATAATGAAAAAATATCTAAAATTGATTTTTAACAAAATGACCTTAATTACGACGGCCAACAATTTTTTGTCCTTAATAACGACGTTCAGTAATTTTTTTGACCCTAATAACGACGGCAAGCTATTTTTTGACCTTAATAACGACGATAGTTATTTTTGACCCTAATAACGTAACGACGGTAGCTGTTTTTTGACCCTAATAACGACGACAAGCTAGTTTTTATCCTTAATAAGGACATATTCTTTAGAAACTAATGTTCATTTCATATTAAAAGTAGGACGGTTGTTTTTTGAATAACTTTTGTTAGGAATTAGATGAGGACTTGTGGTTTTTATCATTCGAAAGAGGAGATGAAGCTGCATCGATCTGCATAGACCAAATTTTTCGGAACAGATTTTTCAAAGCTTCAGTGAAATTTTTTCAAAAAAATTGTGCTGTTTCGTAAGTTGAAAGACCTATTTTTCATCACCAAATACAAAAAAAGTTGTTTTTTTGTGAAAAATCGGTGAAAAAACTACTGTAAAATATCTAAAACTCACGATTGATTAGAACTATTGACGTCGGACTTGTATAATTTATAGAACCTTTGTTAGGCATCCTGATGCATTCCTTAAAATTAAGTTTACAAAATCTCCACACGACTCAAACTTTTATTTTTGATAAAGTTGACTGGTGGTCTTAGGAAACCGCCTCAGAAAAATCCGATCTATACAGTTCGATGCAGTTTCATATACTGTTTCGAATGGTGAAAACCGCAGGTCTTCATCTCATTTCTAACAAAAGTTACTCAAAAAAACAACCACTGATCTTTTAATTTGAAATGGACATTAATATAAAATAAAGATCGAGGACTTGTTTGAGCTTGTGCTGGTGATGACTCACTTGCTGAATTGGTATCATATTGATTAGAAGAAAAATTCAATTGTTGGTTCAAATCTAAAATATGTTAACGAAAAGAATTACCATAAAAAGTATTGATAGGATTTCTACTTGAATTTGATGAATTGTTGTACGTTGATGTTTTTTGAATAGATATTTCTCTATCAGTTGCAAGATTAAAATCAGAATCACTTAAATATAAAATTAGAAACATGGATAAAAAACATTTTGGCATTAATTTATTTTATACCTTTCACTACTATCGTCATCATCAAATGTACGTTGACGATTAGTTGATGATGGTGGAGGACTGTGCATAAATTAAAGACAAAATAGGTTTAAATAATTTTAAACTTAGAGATCTACTTTCATTAAGAATACTGCTATTCAAGAGTAATACTTAAGAGAACAAAAAAATTCAAGAAGGAAGTATAATAATTATGTCTTATATGGAAATACTATATAAAGAAAAGTTCTTATAAGTAAAAACAAAACTTGAAACACAGGTGTACCATGATTATCCCATAGAAGTACACTTTGTGGTAAAATAGTATAAACAGAGTACATTATTGGCAAAGGTACTTCATATCAGACATATTACTGAGTTTAGCCGATATTGCAGGCAATTCTAACTAATCTATCAATGAAGAGAATAATCCTACACCTACTCTAACAAATGATGAGCTCCATTTGTGCGTTTAAAAGATTGAAACGATTTAAACATACTCAATATCCATTGCAGTTGAAGCAAGTTGATCATTTGAATTATTTGCATTAGAAGTAGATGTATTTATCGCATTGAATAATGTGGATAAAGTTTCAGCTGCTGATGGTCTATAACATAAAAGTTTTTAAACAATAAGTAATTTTGTTATTTATTACGTATTTGTTGTACGATTATAGTATGACGCAGCTCGACGAACTACTTTATCTTTCATGACATCAGCATCGAACGGCCAGACGCCCGCCCGTCGAAAGCCACCAGAAATAGTACTTGGTGAAATGAAGCTGGTATAAAGATCATTGAACAATTTCGGAAAATCGATCTTCCTAATGGATTTTCTTTGTGTTTTTCGAAAATATGTAGATACAATTGCTTTCCACTTTTTTTTTGCAATACTATAATTATAAATATTAAAATTTAATTAGCGAAAATTGTATTGATACCCTAAATAACTTGACGACCTAAAAGTACTTCAAATAGGATCATAGGAATCCTTCCTTTTATCTACAACTAAATAGAGTAATATGTTCAACTTTACTCTAATTTAATCTACTTCTATTACAAGGACATTTCAATTTTATCTTTGTTTTATATTTCTTAATGACGCATTCTTTTAATTTTTGGTGTTTTATCGCTATTTTTCTGATAGAAATTTTCAGGAATAGCTCTTTTATATTGTCTCAAACGTAGGTGTTCGGTTATTTTAAAGTAAACAACGTAGAAAAGACCTAAAATTTAGATTACGATCTTGCAAGTATGTCAAGACACTTCCATGAATTTTACATGTATTATTATATTGAGTAAAGAAAGAACTTAGTCTTTTCAGAAAAAAAAAATCATACAAGCTTTTTGCAGATACTATTCATATATTGTTTTCTACATAAAAAAACGAACTTCTTTTTGTCGTGACATGTTATTAAACTTTATTATTGGATTTTATCAATATGATTATCAACAAATTATGTAGTAAAAAGAGATTTTCAATATAATTGAATTATAAATTTTTATATGACTTACGCTCTTATCAAGCATTATATGTGCTAGTGCTTTCAATACGTTGAAGTATCCAGCTTCTCTCATAATGGTTATTAGAGAACAGATGCATAGATTTAGTAATCATCAAAACTAGATGAGGTTGTCCTTGGAACTATTGAAATTTTCTCAAGTAATGAGATTTCATATATTTTATGACATGTTTTCATTTGTCATATTACTTTGATTTTCTCTCATATTTCAATTTTGCTCAACACAAAGCAATGCAAGCGCAAAATATAGGCGAGAAATATCTTAAAATTTCAAAAAGCTGTTAATATATCCATGTCAATATGAGATAACAAAAAAATGGTAATCGTCTAATTCAGAGAAAAAGTATTAGAAATACAAATACTAATTATTTTTGAAGGTGTACTAGATTTAAAAAACTAAAGAGTATTATAGCAGTTTCAAATTAACTCCTATAACAAATGTGACAGTGCGACGTTTCCAAAAGATTAGATAGATTCTATATATGATAAGAACAACAGTTTTGAGGAAAAAAATGACTTGAACTTACATCTTTGTTTGATTTTATATTAGCTTCTAAAGAATATGTCCTTATTAAGGATAAAAACTAGCGTGTCGTCGTTATTAGGGTCAAAAAACAGCTACCGTCGTTACGTTATTAGGGTCAAAAATAACTATCGTCGTTATTAAGGTCAAAAAATAGCTTGCCGTCGTTATTAGGGTCAAAAAAATTACTGAACGTCGTTATTAAGGACAAAAAATTGTTGGCCGTCGTAATTAAGGTCATTTTGTTAAAAATCAATTTTAGATATTTTTTCATTATATTTTGCATTCCACTAAAAGATAGTTGCTTCTTCGTGAACCGCTAGATGATAGTAGAGTTTGATTTGCTCTACAAAATTGTCTAAGACACCATATCTCGATTTCCCACAGAAAACGTGAAAAAAGGTTTTTTTCTTTAAAATTAGTTTTTCTCTTATATTTTGCTGGAGAGTCGTTATTAGGGTCAGTAATTTTGCTGGCCGACGTTATTAGGGAATCGATACTTAATAACGACGGAGAGACCTCTTCATCATAGACCGCTAATGTCTCCATGGTAACATGTAGGTAAAACCAAGATTTATACATCATTCGAAAGAGGAGCATCTAAGGATTCTCAAAATATAAAAATGATTTTGATTGGATCTACAGCAGATGAATACGAAGCAAAATAAAAGAAGACAAAATTGTCGCGTCGTTATTAGGGAAATTTTCTCTATATATCAGCTGATTTTGACCAATACAAATAGACAGAAAAGAACATAATTTTCTTTGCTGTCTGTTTTGTTCTTTTCTGTCTATTTGGATCAGTCAAAATCATCTGATATATATATATATATGATAGTTTTCTTCTCTTAATTTTGTCTTATAATTTTTTCTTGATAATGGTCATAGTTATCATCGAAAGCTTGATATTGCATTTTGTATAATTATTATATTAACTACCACCTTATTATATAATCGTGTGTATAAAATATATTATTGAATAAAAAGCATTTTGGTTAATATATAAATTTATTAAAATTAATTAAATTTTTAAAATGTCAAATTCTGCCAGTTCATCAACAACATTGGGTTGTTCAAGTTCAACGAATAATATAACTGAATTAAAGTAATCTGTGGTGAATAAATTTTTTATTGATGTTCAAGCAAGAAAACCAAATTCGTGGCATGGTAAATGCTCAATATGTTCACAAGGTGTTGCTGATACATATGGCACCACGTCTAATTTTGTACGACATATGAAGACAAAACATGAAAGTGAATATGAAGAATGGTTAGCTAAGAAAAATGTTAATCTTGATACAAAACAACGAAATATTGATGATATGATAAAGCAAAAAACAAGTAAATATTTATCAATTAATCCAAGACAAGTTAAATTAACTGAATCAATAATAAAAGATTTAATAATTGAATGTGGTATACCATTATCATTAGTAGAACAAAATGGTTTTAAAAATTTCATGGAAATAGTTGATCCAATGTATTCACTTTTAAGTCGTCGACAAATAACTCGTGATAAACTTCCAAAATTACATGATAATATGATTACGAAATTAAAAGTATTATGTAATAATGTTGAACATGTATCAGTTACATTAGATTTATGGAGTGATAGACGTTTACGTTCTTATATCGGTATTACTTTACATACATTTGTTGATGGTGAATTAAGATCATATTTATTGTCATTTGCACCATTAAAAGGTCGCCATACAGCTGATGTTTTACTGGCTGAATTTGAAAAAGTAATTAACTATTATCGTATTGAAAAGAAATTAGTACGTTTAATTACCGATAATGCAGCTAATAATATAAAAGCATTTGATAATATTTTACTTCCAGGATTTGAAACATATTTTGAAAATGATGGTCGTAACAATGATGATGAATCATTACAAGATAATGATGATGATTCTAATGATCATTTTGAATTAGTATCGTTAGATGATGATATTGTTCAATGTTTAAGTGAAA